TCCTGGCTCTGACTACCTTCATCCCTCCATCCCAATTCATCGCCCTCTTCCTCAAGAGGACCTGAACCAGCCCTCTCCTGCCAGACCCACCTTGGGCACCCTGACCCACTGCAGGTGACTGGCCAAGAAGTAAATCCCCACCATGAGCAGCAGCAGGAAGCACCTGAACAACACACACACTTTAAACCAGAGGGGAAAATGGCTGAATAGATCACAGGAGATTTTAAAGGAAGATAATTTCTGTTCTTGTTAGTGAAAGACAGGCAGTGAAAGGACAGCAGCTCACAGCAACAGGGCTGCAGGGAAGTCCGAGGGACAAAAGGCTCATCTTCATCTCTCTCTTTCTTGGCGGACCAAATCTAAGAGCCTGTCTCCAGTGACTACAAAATTCCTGGTCCAGGAGGACATAACCAAGGATACAGAGACAATAGCAAGGAGACCAAAGGATTATCAGACATCAGCAACTGAGCGGCAGCTGCCACTAGGATGCACAGCAAAGCAGTCAGCCCGATTTCCAGGCAGTCACCCTGCACAGGGAACGAGCGAGCTCGAGACTGGAATAACAAATCTGCTTCTTTAGCTCCCACATAAAGGCTGCTGAAAGCCTGAGAGGAAGTCCAGGGAATACCAATAAGAAGGATTAAATCCTGAGAAACATCCCTGTAAGCAACAGATTTAAGGACCCTGAAGTAAGTAGCTCAGTTAAGAAGTGAAGAGCCCAAGGAGCTTCCACACCAAAGCTAAAATTATTAAAACAGGAAGAAAACTTCTGGGAGCAAAAAGTCTTCCTTAACTTAGCAGAAAACTCATTTCTTACAAAATTGTCAGTGGGAAGAAATATGTTGCAGAAATAATGTGCTTCAAACCAGAGAGAGCCTGCTCCCCATGCCACACCATCACATCAAACCTCGGCGCTGTCCTGGTCCCTTCCAACTCTCCCTTCCTCTCCAACTGCGTTACCTCAGCGTCCCTGAAATGAGCAGTCCTGCTGCTGCCATCGCTCCTGGAACACCCAAACCCCATATCAAATTATTTGGGTCACCTGGGACACGTTCTGGTGTCCACAAGCACACACAGCAAATGCCAGCAGCTTGGATGTTCCAAGGCTCCTCTCTCCACCCAAACCTGGATCTCCCACCCCTTCCTGACCAGAAAAGCACCCAAAGATCCCAATTCCAAGCCCCATAGTGAGGGCTGGGCAGCTCATGGGATGTGCTGAAGGCTGAGAGCAGCACACTGGTCACTCCTAACAGCTGTCCTAGCTGCCACCTTCACAACAAAATCGCCACATCTCAAAGGAAACCTTCCTCTGCACAGACAGGTTATCTCTCACGCACAATCTTCCCTCCCAGCTATAACAATCCAAACCATGCCCTGTCTTCAGCTTTGCTGTGGTGAAGATGGAGTGGATGGGGATGATTTCAGCAGTTCCCAAGCACCAGTAAAGAAGATAAAGAGCAGCAAAGCCCAGCGTGACTGGGAACAGACAGAATCCTTCACTGAGCACAAGAGACCAGTGTAATTCCAGAGGTCCAATTTGCTCACTCACAGCCTCAAAAACTCACCACCCCATCCCACAGAACAGCTCCCACCGCAACAACTCAGCAGTGTTAAAACAATACTCAGACAATGACCCCGCCCACACCAGCTCTGCCCCCCAAATCCCAACCTGTGAAACAATTTCAGGACTCCATCATGGAATCCACCTTCTCCAACACAGGAAGGAGATGCCTGTGATCCTTCAGCCCCACTATGGGCTCTGCAGCACCCTACCTTTCCTGGACTCCCAGGGGGAGAGGGTGTGACCCTGCACAGCCATGGCAGGGTGTGACACACACAACGGGGACGCTCCATACCCCATATCCCCCCCGTGCTCCAGGGTGTCCTCAGTCCCCTGAAATTGCCAGTTTGGGCTGTTCCTGCAGTACAGGGCACTCCACACACCCCGCTCTGCCAGTGTTTCAGTGATACTCCAGGGTGTGTTTGCAAACAATGGGAATGCCTCTGGCTGCACCTCACGGTGTTGCAGATGCTTCCCACAGAGACCACCAGGTTTATCACCCCACATATACACAGAGTGCCTGGGGCACCACACCTTGTGTACAGGTGCCCCCTGAGCTCGGGCCCCACTCTAAGCCTTCAAAGTGCTCCTGCAGCCCCATCCACCCCATCCCTGCCCTCCAAACACCTGCACATCCACACCCAGCCTGCCCTGCACCCCCTTAACCTCTCCCTGACCCCCCCATGGGCTCTGTAACCCTCCACAGTCCCCTTTCATTGCAGACCCGCAGCCCCTACAGCCTCCCCTGCCGTCCCAACCCTCCACCCCAGGCACCCCCTCGGCATCTCTGCCCTCCCTGCAACCCCTTCTCAGCCTCTGTTCCCATTCCACACCCTCCCACAACCCCCAACTTTCCTACTCCAGGCCTGCACCCCATAACCCTCCCCAGGCACCTCCCCACGCACACAGCCCCCCAGAGCTCCACCTGTGCACCCCACACCCTCCAAAACCGCATCCCACCCTCCCAGCCACCCAAACTCCCACCTGTGCACTCCACAAGCCCCAAACTTCCACCCGTGCACCCCAACCCCCCAAAATTCCACCTGTGCACCGCTGGCCTCTCCCCCACGCACCCCCGGCCCGGGTCCCCCTCCCCGCGCGCCCCTCAGAGCCCCCCGGCCGCCGTGGCCCGCCCCCGAGAGCTCCCTCGGCCGCCCCCCGGGCCGCCCCCGCGCACCGGGATCGCTCTCCAGCTCCAGCCAGCCCTTGTTCATCTTCCCGCGGGCCGGACTGCGCCGCCATGTGCGGCCCCGCTACGGGTCCCGCCGTCGCTCGCTCCGCCACGTCATCGACGCGCGCCGTGCCGCGCCGTGACGTCACGCGCGCGACGCGTGTCCCTCGTGACGCCACGTGGGGCCCGAGGCGGGGCGGGGGAGCCGCAAAGGGAGCTGGGGGGTACAGGGATCGGGGCGTTTCCGTGGAAAACGGCGTGTCTAAACCGTGCCCGTGGGTTTTTCTGTCTGCCACACCGTGCGGAGGATGTTCAGAGTTTATTATAATATATGTGATATATCTAATATATAGATATAATAGTATAATAGTATATAATAATATAAGGTTATATAATATGTAATATAAAATATATAATGTATAATATATATACACAATATAACGCTATATATTAATACTATATAATATATAATGGTTAACATAATTATATAATATATAATATATATATATATTTGTACAGTATAAAATATATATGCTATATTATATATACTATATTATAATAAATAAACATGTAGAATTATCTATAATAGGCAATAAAAAATAATAAATTCGTTTAAATAAATAGGCAATAAAAATTTAATACATTCATTTAAATAAATTTAAAATGTAATTCTTTTAGGGAATTTAGTTTGCAGCACTTGTTGCTGAACTTTATTCCTGATCCCCTATGCATTGTGATACTTCAATACTTTCTTAGTTGTGCCCCTGCCCCTGCTTATTGCAACACTTAACAGCACCGCTAAGGGTATCGGCATCTACCAGGATTTGCAACGTCCCAGATTGTTGGATGGACCCCCTGCCTTGTGCTCATAGCAAGGTCTCTGAAAACGTGCATGTTGGGTGGAAAGGAATAGCAGGCTCGATAATGTGCATCTGCCTGGTGGGTTGGGGGGTTTGTTGTTGTTTTGTTTGTTTGTGGGGTTGTTTGCTGGGTTTTTTTAGGCTTGTGAGCCAATATTCTGTTGGACTCGATGATCTCAGGGGTCTTTCCCAATCCAATTGATCCTGTGCCTCTGTGTCGAGCTGCCACCCGTGCCGGCCCTGCCCTGGCCAGCAGCTCCACTTTCTCCCCTGGGGAGGCTGGAAGGCTCCCAGGGGGAGCATGAGCCCCCGCGCTGCACTTCCGTGGGAAGTGCGATAAAAATAGGAGCGGGAACGGCTGTGCCTGTTTCCCCCACCTCCACGGCTTTGTTCTGCAGCCGTTCCCACACACACCCCGTCCCCCGGCGCCCCCCTCACCACGCTCTGCCCCGGGACAGCACCAAGCCCGGGTAGGGCCTGTTCCCCTTCACGCTGCAGATGCTGAATCTGCCCCATGGATTGTGTCTTCTTCCACCCCCTGGGGGCCTGAGGATGTGTTTGTGGTCGTTCAGCCCATGGAAGTTTCCAAGGACCCAGGTTGTCTCAGTTACTGGTGATCCCGAGAGACAGCCCTGACAAAATCCCTCCTGCTCCAGCCTTAGTGTTGTAAATCTACCCGGGAGGGCCAGGCTCAGCCATCCCAGAGATTTACTGGGAGGCAGGATAGGACCTTTGTGGAACTGTGTTTTTCTGGTCTCTGTTCCTGCTCAGTTTGAAGCCTCGCTGGCCCCAGTGCCACCTCTGGATGGGTTCCCACAGGACCTCAGGGCCAGGTCCCACACACAGCATGGCCTCAGGACCCCTCTTGCTGCCTCCCCCCAGATGAGCAGCTCATCCCCAGCCCCTCTCCCTGTGGAGCACAGGGAGTCGCTCAGAGGCAGCAGGGCACAGGCATTCCAGCACGGGTCAGTGCAGGCACTGCAGAGCCCTTTAATACGGGCCCTGAGGAATCAGACTCCTGTCTCTCTTCCTGGCTCTACACCCAGGTCCCTCCTTGTCTCCACTTGTTGGTTTTCATTCTCCTGTGCCCCCCAGGCCTGTGTGATTATCCAAATCCACGTGCTTGGCTCCAGTCTAGCCCCAAAATCAGTGCTGCCAGCACTGCTCCCCTCCCTGCGGGACGTGTCCCAGCCTGCCAGCCCCACCACAGCTCTCCCGTCCCTGGAGACACCCTGAGCAGGCACCTGGAGTTTGCAAGGGAGCTGGAGGAGGGGGCCAGGACCCCCAGCCCCTCTCCGTGGGCCGGGGCAGTGCTGCCCATGGACTTTGCTCCCCATGAGCTGTGCTGCAGCACAAACACACACACACAGAGGGAGGAGAGATGATATCACAACCTGGCTTTGTGTGAGCTATTTAGGGCCTTTTAATTATTATTATTATTTTTATTTTTCTTTCCCGTCCCTCCAGCTCTGAACAATGCCCGTCCCAGCGGGGCCGCAGTTCACACCATTGTGTGGGGCTGCCCTGCCTCAGGAAGGGGCAGATCTTTATCACCCCGGGGCTGACCAGGAGTGAGCTCATGTCGGGGGAGGAAAGCAAGGAGCACCTCACCATGCACTTACCCCAGCCCCTGCATTTGGGGGGAGACCCCAGGTGCTGGTTTGGCTCCACCAGCCACCATGAGTCCACCCAAACTGTCCTCGTCCCACCCCACCCTCCAGGGCCACCAACCAGCAGAAACACACCCCAGCTGTGGTGCAGCCCCCCCAAACTGTTCCTTCTGCCTGTCCCCGCTCCTGCCTGGGCACAGTGACAGGGGTGGCATCAGTGCCTCTCCCATGTTTACCCAGGAACAGGTCTGACCTGCCCATAACCGTTTGCTTTTCTCCCTGATCCTAAAACTGTGGCTGGGGGCAGGGGGACAGAAGGGAAATGGGGAGCTGCACCCAGGCACTGCTGAGTGAGTCCTGGTGCCAAGGGAAGGTAGGAAGGAGCCATGTCCTCCAGGGTATGTATTGGGTGGCACAGCACAGCTCTGGCTCCCCAGTCACAGCAGGTGACAGGGCTCATCCTAGACACAGATGTTTTTTGGGGTACGGCTCAGTTTTTCCCCTCTTAAGAGCAGGCATCATCTTCCCCAGGCTCTGGGCTGGCATGGAAAGAGCCCAAAGCCATCCCTGTGGTGCCATGTTCAGCCCCTTTATTCCCAGAGGAAGCCAGCCAGCTCCTAGGGTGACAGCACAGCAGTGCCACCACGCCTGCCAAGCCCCAACACACTCAGGGACCATGGCCCCCACCTGCCACATCACTCAACAAGAGCAAGGGGGGGACAATGCATCCCACCTCACCGTCCATTTCAGAGGTGACCCTGCAGCCACCAAGGGTGACAGGGACCTGCCCATCCACCCTCTCCGAGGGGACCAGGCTGGCAGCATTGCCAGGGCAGGAGGCCCCCAGGGCTGCCAGCAGCATGGGGAGCTGGTGCTCGCCCACGGCCACCCCATGTCCACCATCCCACTCTCTCTAAGTGGCTGGCACTTGCCGGGGCACACGGTTCCTCTCGCTGTGGGGTTTGGCCACCCGTCCCTTCTTGCCCACGTCCACTCCAGCCAGGGCCAGCTTGGCCTGGGCTAGCTTGCTCTTGCGGTGGTGGGAGCGGCCGCCACACCAGAGGCGGGCACAGTACTCCTCCACCCGCCGCAGGTTCTGGGAGCTGATCAGGTGCATGATGTCCTTGAACCAGGCTTTGGGAGCCTGTGGTGGCAGCCGGGGCTCGGAGCAGAGCAGGCGCAGGGGCTCGTCTCCCCGCTCCCGGGGGAGGGTGTGTGCCAGCTGCTCACCAGGGATCACCTCCAGGGCCGTCTTGGCCACGGTCTGGGTGAAGCCGTGCTCCAGGGTTTTGCAGTAGTAGGTGCCGGCGTCGTGCCGGTGCAGCTTGCGGAAGAGCAGCCCGTGCTCCGTCTGCAGGATCCGATCGTCCGTCTTCACCTGCCAACCACCACAAGGTTGGGGGGGATCCAGATCTGGCCCTTCCTCCCTCCTGTGTCCCCACAAGGGGAGCAGGTGCAGGGGGAGCCTCACCTCATCCCGCTGCTCATCGGGGGGCCTCTGGACAAACCACTGCACGGTGGCCTGGGGCGACCGGGGCACGCACTCCAGGAAGGTGCTGTTGTCCTCTGCTCCATAAAGCACCTTCTCCTCAACAGCCTCAAAATCATCCACTAGGGCAAAGACAGACACAGGCTCATGAGGAGGGCAGAGCCAGGCTTCCACCTGCCTGTGTGTCAACCCCCCTGGGCCATCGTGTGGCTTCAGCCCCCATCTCTCCCTGGGGACAAACCCCAGCCCCAGCAGCACCCACCTTCTCTTGGGGCACCCCTTGGTCTATGGGACAGGGAGATGAGGGTTCCCCAGCCCATCCCGATGGCAACAAGCCCTTCTGTGTGCTGAGGGCTGTGGATGTCAGGACACCTTGAGGCACCTGGAGGAACCCCTCAGCCCTGTGGGCCCCCCAGTCTCTCACCCGTCAGGTTCTGGTCCAGACACTGGTGTGCAGGGTTACCATGACGGGTGTCCTGGCGGCGCTGGCGGCGCTTGCCAGAAGGCTGGTAGTGCGTGCAGGCAGTGCCATCCCAGGTGCAGTAGGGATCCCTGGCCAGGCAGCATTCGGCACAAGCCGAGCCGTAGGACTCGCACCAGTGCAGCCGTACCTGGGCCACCCCCAGGCTGGAGCCCACATAGAGTGTTTGCTGGGGAAACAGCACCAAGGTGGTGATGCTGGCAGGCCCCATGGGCACAGCACCCAGGGGCCCAACAAGGACCTCCCCAGGGCAAGCACCATGTGGCTCTGAGAGGTCGGTGACCACAGCTCAGTCCCCAGCTCCGTGGCCAAGCCATGTCTATACTTACACGCTTGACAGAGATCTCCATCTGAGTAATGGGCACAGGAACCTGCAGGGGAAGAGAGAGGATGTCAGGCTGGCTAAACCTCACCACAGAGAGCCTGGCTCATTCAGAGCTGCCAGGGAGGGCATCAGGAATGTTTTGGGGAGAGTGGAAACACCTCTGGCCACCCTCTGCCCTCTCAACCCCGAGACCTTCCAGTGCCCAGCACTGCAGTGACAACCCTAAACCTCCTTCCCCATGTGTTTACCCAACGTGAGCTCATCCCCCTGCCCCCTCCCTTGCAAGTGGGGCAGAAAATGTCACCTTAAAAACCTGCAGCTCCTCCAGGATGACTTCCTCAGTCGTGGCTGAGTTTTCCTTCTGCAGGACCACCACCTTCAGCACTGAGCCAGCATCTGGGAGTCAAGGAGGATGGAGATGTGAGCACCCTGCCATCCTACAGCCCAGAGGTGTGGTAACACCAGCTCTGGGGCTGCTTCCTGCATGCTGGTCCTGCTGCTCACCTGTCCCGAGGAAGAGGACATCGTGCTGCCCATCCTCGGCCTCCACCCGGTCCACCACGATCTGGTGCAGCCGGTGGGGCAGGTCGGTCTTCACCAGGAGGGGCCGGCGGTGCCAGGGGTACACGGGCCTGTACATGAGGGGGTGAGCACGGGCAAAGTGCAGCACCTCGTCAGGGAAGTCCTTGGTGGTGCTGTACTGCCGCCGGGGCTGGTTGGTGGTCTTGCTGGGACACTGTGGGGATGAGAGGGATCCAGCTCAGCCCAGCCACACCAGCACCCACCCCTCCTTCACCCTCCATCACCCCTCAGAGCTGGTTTGGACCCCTCATCACCTTTCAGTTTGGAATCCATTTTCTCCACCCCTTTGCCAGACCTTGGTCCCCAGCTGACCAGGGGTGGATCCCACAGAGAGCCCACCCCAGCAGGTGACAAGACTGGGGGGGAGAGGGCCCAGAGCTGCAGGGAGTCACTCACCACACCAGGCCGTGGGTAGGGTACCCTGCCCTCGTAGGTACCCCACCGGTGGTGGGGGCTGTCCCGGTGAGCGAAGGGCCCGTTGAAGACCTCCCGGATGTCGGCCATGCGGTACACACAGACGGCAGAGCCCTGGAAGACATGGCTGGAAGGGGAGGGAGAATGGGATGAGCAGAGGCATGCTTGGTGCCTGTGGCAGTGGGGCTCATGGGAGCACCGACATCCCTATACAGACTAGAGCAGAGCTGGGAGTGACCAGCAACCTTTGGTGACAGTGACAGGGCAGGCCATGGGTGGCTGCAGCTGGATGTCCCCAGAGGCTGGAGCTGGACCACCCACCTGACAGTGCTGAAGAGGGCATATATCTCTGGGCTCTTCCCATCCTTCGTCCTCAGCAAGAAGACATCCTCTGAAAAATGAAAGCATGGGATTTCTCCTAGAATCCCGGGGGTTTCCCGAAGACACCAACTCAGGGACTAGCCCTGCTGAGGCACAGCTCCAGGCACCCCTTACCCAGCTCATCAAAGTAGGTGTCAATGCCACCAGGGCCAGGGACAGAGCACACCAGCCGGGCTTTGTTGAAGGTACTCCACTTATTGACCAGCACCCTCTGGCCACCAGCATCATTCTGCAGGGATAGAAAGCATCAGGGCCACTGCTGTGGCTTGGTGCATCCCTTTCCACCACGGTCCCCACCAGCATCTTACCACGCAGACACGCCCCACACGGCTGACAATGGCGTGCTCCTTGCTGTCTGCCTCCACCACCTTCTCCGTGAAGAAGAAGTAGGCTTTGTCATTGTCCCGGTCGTCGTTGTCTGGGATCAAGTGGGCTGCCACAAATTTAGGGTCTACAAGAAAGAGCTGGCCATGTCAGATGGGGTGAGAGGGCACAGCGACCACCTCCAGCCCCACACCACATTGGGGACACTTCAAGGCTTATGGTCCCTGGCATTAGCCCAGCCAGGGGGCAGGAGGGGCAGAGGGGAGCCGTTACCATGGAGTAGGCGCTGGTCCACCTCGGTGCGCAGGGCAGAGCGGGTCCCCAAGCTGCGGAACACGCCGGGATCGCGTCCCAGGAAATCTGCGGTGAGGCCGGCATACAGCTCCCCACCTGCAAAAACACCCAGCTGGCACAGGGACCATCCCTGCCCAGCACCCCAGGGGCTCATGGATCCCAAGGAAAACAACCCACCGATGACGGTGCTGGCAAAAGCACGGTTGGGCTCGTGTGGGCACCTGCCCCGGCCGGTCTCCACGCTGGCAGGGTCCAGGCTGAAGGTGTGCTGGGAAGGGGGAGCAGGCAGGTGAGTCCTGGGCTGTGCCTGGGCAGGCAGGGGCTGGCTCTGGTCCCTGCCCAGCTCGCAGGCACTTCGCTGCAAGCATCCTCAGCACCAGCCCACCCAAAGAGACTGTCTGGAAACAGAAAGCAAGACTGATCCTATGAGGACGTGCAGCAGTTGGAGGGACCTGCCAGCCCCACTGCTTGCCTGTTAGCCTGGTCAGTCATCACGGTACAGGCAGGGCTCCTGCTGCCCACATGGTGCTGGGCTCTGAGGGAACAGGGGCCCCTGCCATTCTATCCCAGCCAAATTGATTTATGAGCAGTGAGCTGGGAGAGGAGGAAATGCCACCCATGCCTCAGCCCCTGGCAGGACACCAGCCCCTGTCTGGGTGTTTCCCATGTCTGGAAAGGGGATGCCAGCCCACACAGGTGGGTGAGCCAGGGAAGGGAGTAGCAGAAGCACAAAGGGACAACAGGGACCTGCTTCCTGACACCGTACCCCCTCAGTATTTAGGATGGGGCAAACACAACATCCAGCATCCCCACGCAGTCCCAAGGCCACTCAGGAGGGAGGCAGGCAATGGGGATGTCCCACCGTGGATGCTCAGGGTGAGCATCCTCCACGAGGCTTCCCTACCTCACCACGGGGCCCCACATAGACGAAGGTGCAGACAGGGTGGAAGGCGCCTGTCCCGCAGGCCAGCAAGTGTGTCCGGTTGTAGGGATGCAGCACACGGACATAGTTGGCACAGTCAGTCTGGGGAGACAGCAGGGGAGAGGAAGGGTCACAGGATACTGGTGCTTTGCCCACCTCCAGCTCCAAGCTTCCAGCCTGGTGCCAGGGGTGTGAGATGGCAGCTTGTACCCAATGGCAGGACTTGCACAGACTTCATCTAGGTGTTCCCCAGCCCACTGCAAAAAGGACAATGCTTTTTACTGGTCCTCCTGCCCCTGGGCACCTGTGCACTCACCCTGTCACACAGCCCATGCCAGGGCAGCAAGTTCACCTGCCCAGCAAGCTCCAAACCCAGCCCTGAACCCCTGGCGCCCAGGACGTGACCAGAGGCAGGAACATCCTTTCCCATCGTGTTCCTGTGCACGGCAGGGATGAAACAAAAGGAGGAAACTCCAGAGACAGAGACCTCAAGAGTCCTGGGCTGCCTCTAAATCAGCCCTGACGCTGTCTGGAATTGTCCCCTTCTATGGTGGACCATAGCAATGACAATCCCAGGGCTGGAGACCTGCCACCTCTGACTTCACGCATTCTCTCCTGGCAGTTCCCACTGGAAAAAGGGCTCCCATCCTTCCCCACTGTTTGCTCGGCAGCTCCCTGATCAGCACCAGCCCTGCCTGCCCCCACTGTCCCCCCGTGTCCCCCCACACACACAGTGGGAGGCCCCTCATCTGCTGGGAACACTGCTCCTGAGCCGCCCCAGGGGTTCCCAGCCTCCTGCTGTTTATTTTCCCTTTGCAAAGAGCCTCTAAAATAGCAAGTGAAAAAAAAAATATATGTTCAAGAAAAATAAAAAGTTGAGCCTGCCCTGGCTTGGATCTGTCAGTGAGAGCTTGTAAAATAAACACACAGAGCAGGACAGGGACTCCCGGGAGCAATTCGTCTGGGTCAGGGGAGCCTCAGGGATTTTATCCCTGACATAGTCATATTGAGGCAGGGGGATGCAAAGAGGGGTAAGATTTGGGGAGCAAGGTCACTGAGGCTGACTGAATTACAGATTTCCCATCGCTGGGGACAGCCAGGATGGGCCAGTGTTGCTGGGGTCTGGAGCACAGCACAGGGGTTGTGGTCCCTCCAAGCTTGGGTCTCAGAGTCTGCTATCCCTGCCCATTCAGTGCAGCCACTCTAGGGCACCCTGGCCATAGCTCTGGTCATGGGGCTGAGCAGAGCAATGGACACAGGATTCCCAGACCCTGGAGCAAGCCTCTCACATGGCCAGCCTTGGCTGTTGACTCTCTGCCTCAGTTTCCCTCATGCTCTACCCCTGCACTAACTGGCCTGTGAGCCCCATGGGGTCACCCCCAGCAGGATGACATGGCACAGCCCCAGCTGTGGGGACCCCCAGCTCAGGGCAGAGCACATATGGGGAGACACTCACCCCTGGATCCTTCCCCTTCCGAAAACACTCCTCTGTCTGGCCCGGGAGGGGTGGCCAGTAGATCTGAAACACAAAGGACGTGTTGGAGCAGGGATTGGGGACAGCAGGAACTCAGCCTTGTAAATCCATGTCCCCAGGCGTGGAGAGAGGGACAGAGAGATGGACCACCACTCTCCAGAGCCCACCCAGCCCAGGGCTCTCACCCTGCAACCTCAGGCAGGACCCTTCCTCCTGGGGAAAGGCAGCCCAGCAGTCCCAGCCCACAGCCAAACTGGATTTGGGTGGTCACACTGGGGATGGCTGGAGCTGGCCTGGAAGGGGGTGGGCTCGTGAGTAGCCTGGGGAAAGAGTGCCGAGGGACAGCATGAGTGATGGAGCCCTTGTCCCCCACAGACTTTGGAGGCTCTCAGACCAAGGGCAGCTGGGGTACACAAGCCCTTGACCCCACCGCAGTGACCCAACATGCTGAGGGCACTTCATTTCCTCCTCCCCTTTCTTCAGCTAGAACAGCCCAGAGCCTTGTTTGAAAAACAGCAAGCCAAAGCGGAGAGGGTGAAGGACCACCCAGCACCATTGCTGTGGTCTGTCACCTCTCCCACCGAGGAGCCAGGAGAGGCCTGGGGGCCTCTGAGAGCCCTGACAGAGCTTGTTGCAATGATGGATGCATTTAGCTCCTTGTCTCTGCAGGCTTGTCTATTTGGCCCTTGAAGGGGATGCCCAGATGGCAATGGGCAGCACTCATTCTCCCAATGGCAGTTTTTTAGAGGAATGGGGTCCAAAACACTACTCAGCACCCAGGAATCACCGGTGGGCTGTACCACCAGTCTCCTATGCTGCTGCTCATGAATAATCGCTGGCTAATTGCCCTCCATCCACCACAGCCAGACCACCCTTGCCAGGCACTACAACAAGTTTTCAGAATCACTTCAGGGCACTAGAGATGGGGACACCCCCAGGGCAGGTCTTGTTTCAGGGTGACTTTGCCTGGCTCAGTTGGGCACCAGCCACTCGGAGGGGTGAGGAGTCCATAGGGATGGAGCCCCCGGGGTGCTCAGCAGGACCCAGCGCACCTCCTTGGCGTCTGCATTGGCCCCATCCAGGAGCAGGGAGTAGAGCACATCCTTCCCCCCGATGAAGAGCCGATCCCGGTACTCATCCAAGTAGAGGGAGCGGAAGCCCAGGAAGCCTCTGTGACCGAAGAAGAGGATGGAGCGGTTGGTGCCCAAAAGCTCTGCCAGGGAGAGAGGGAACATCAGGAGGAGCCATCCTGCCCTCAAGGGTCCCTACAAGCTGCTGCTTCTAAGCGTCACAAAGCTGTCCTGGAGCCAGAAGAGCTGCTCCCAGCCTCCCTGGACAGCATCATCCATCTCCATCCCTTCCTAGAGGTGCTGGCATCCCAGACTCAGCCTGGCTGGAGTGCTGCTCTCCCTGACAGCCGAGGAAAAAGCTGCAGAGCCAATTGGGAGCAGGGTCCCAGGCAAGGTTGCTGCCCCCAGCAGGGTTTGGCCAAACCCACTCCAGACTCCCACCATGGCCATGCCACAGCAAGCTGGGCTGTGCCACCAGCCCCAGGCTGAGCTCACACGGAGCCAGGAAGGTGGTGAGACCGGACATGGGGTGGGCAGAAAACAGGTCCTGTCCCTGCCAGGTGCCAGCCAAGGACACAATAGCAGGCACTCAGCCAGTGCCATGGCACATAAAGTCTGCTGCTGCCACGGCCAGCAGACCTCACTGGCGGGAAGGTTTCCTCCACAGCACAACATGAGGACAGCACTTGGGCAGAGGCACTGGAATGGGAATTCTGCATCCCTGGGATGGACACCACATCCCAAAGAAACTGGGTCTGATATCAAGGTCCCCAAAGCAGGTCTGAGCCTGAATTTCATGGTATGCCAAGGGGACCCTCATGGTGACGCCACCGCAGGGGAAGTGGCATGACTGGTTTGCAGTGGGAAATGACTTTCAGGGTCAGCAAGCCGGCACAGTGGCGCCCACACAGCTGCCACAGAGGGAGAGAGCAAGAGGGAACGTCTCAGCTTCACAGGGCTCTGAAAACCCATCCCAGTGACTGCCCCTAACACGGGCTAGGCCACTGTGACCGCCAGACAGAGGAGGAGGAGGACAAAGCGCCATTGATGAGCACAGACATGTCCCCAAACACCCTCCAGCCCGGAAGACTGCCAGCTGCTGCTGGTGCTGACCCCAGAGAAACCCCCAGCACGAGCCTCCCCCACACATGACCCATGAGAGGGGAGGTGGTGCTGGGACAAGCCCAGTTGCCAGCAGCCCAAGACACTGGGGTACCGAGCCCTGCTCTTGCTGGGGGGTGATTTGTCACCTCCCACGAGGAGGTGGCCAAGCCGTGCCCCCATCCTAGTGGGAAATGTGTCTTCTGCCTGCAAGGGAGACAAGGTCCATCCCTGGTGGGGGACAATGGCCACCTCCACCCCATCACACACAACTCTCATCCCTGCCAGGCTCCCCAAGGGCAGTCCCATTGCCCTGACTGCTGATGCCAGTGACACAGAAGGATATAGCCCCAGTGGTTCCATCCTTATTGGGAAGTCCTCTGTGCCTGCAAGCAGAGCTGGCACCAGGCCCTAGTGGCCCTTCCACCTCATCTCCCTGGGGGTACCCTCCCCCTGTGTCCTCACAGCATCTCAGGTCCTCCCATATCGCCTGGTCCAGCACAGGAAAATGCTGTCGTCTCCTTCTATTCTTGCCCAGCAATAACATTTTCCCAGCTCAGAATAACATCGGCAAAGTCGTCGGGCTCCTTTTATTGTTTCAGGCGAGGCTTCCCCTTCTCCCCCAGACCTGGTGAATTCCTCCTGCGCCTCGGGTTACACCAGTCCAGGGCGCCTTCCTCTTCCCCCCCTCCGGTTTCATCTCCCCAGGGAGCAGCCCCCTGCCATTGCCCATCCATCCCTGGGACCCCTTCACCCCGGTGGGGGGGCCCCTGGGGAGGCACAGCAAGAGAGCACTGGGCTGTGCTGCAATGCTCCTGGTCCACATAGCAGCAAAACGCTCTTTCCCCTCTTACACGAGCCACTGCTGAAATTTGAAACAAAAGGAGAAGAGTGGCTTGAAGTGTGAGGAAGAGTTGGGGGCATGGCCACCCCTGCACCCGCAGCACAAAGCCTGTCCCTGTCACCCCACAAATGCCACCCCTCAGCCAGAGCCGCTTGCCAGGCAGAGCCCAGACCAAGGAGCTGTGCACAAACAGCACCAGCTCGCCCCTTTCATTTCAGAGGCTCCAATGGTTTTAATTGAAATTTTCATTTTCTTTTTCTTCCCCCCGGGGAGAAGGCGGTGGCAGAATTTGTTTCATGGGAAATTTCAGTTTCTGTTTCCAATTTGAAAGACGAATGGAATAAGCAGCTTAAGAAAGGGAGGAAAAAAAAAAAAAAAAAAAAAAAAAAAAAAAAAAAAAAAAAAAAAAAAAAAAAAAAAAAAAAAAAAAAAAAAAAAAAAAAAAAAAGCGCTTCCAAAGGTGGCTCCTCCCCGTGAGAAGCTGAGGAGCGCCCCCCACCCCCGCCCGGGCCCTAGGGAACCCCTCACACCTGGGGAATGGCCTGGCACGGTCGGACTTTGTGCTGGAGTGGATCAGACACAGAGCCATACCCTGAGCCCCACGACCCAGCCCTGTTGTGACCCCAGACCTCCTTGCCCTGCTGCCAAGCCCAGTTTGAGGACGCCGGATCCCATCACGGGAGAGAGCCATGAGCCGTCCTGGGTGCATGCTGGCTCCCAGGGTAAGTAGGGGCCACTGAGTGCCTCAATTTCCCCTTCCACAGGGAGGCAGCCCCTGGATCGCCTGCTGTGCCCCAGGACAGAGCCAGCCTTGGGACCCCCCAGCCCAGGCAACACAGGAGCAAGACTTTTCCCTGGCAGAGGGAGGTGCTCTGCAGCTCCCGTGGCTCTCCAAGCTCTGGACTGCTCATGCCTTTCCTCTCGCTGAGAACGGGGAAGATATGCCTTATGTAATTTATTTTATGTTAATTTTTTTACGAGCAGGTTCATTGCTTTGAGGCCAGAAGGAGATTAGGGCGCCCCAGGCTCTGTCAAGTTTGGCTGGAGCAGCCCGTGCATTAGGCTGGCAGAGTGGGGGATGCGGCGAGCCAGAGCAGGATCACAGGGAGAGTTTTAATTAAAACCAAGCACTGCCCCCGCAGCCCCCCGAGGGGTCTGGCACCCCGGCACCCGCACTCCAGCACGGCGGGGCTCGGAGGGCGCGCCCCATGGACCCCCTGCCCAACCGAGGATGCTGAGCACGCACCCTCGGAGTGCCCAGGCCGGGGGACCACCCACGCACGGCAGCACCCCCCACCCCCCAGCACACACGGCAGAGCGTGCCGGGGCCGGGACAGCGCCGTGCCTCAATTTCCCCGCACTCGACGTGGGAGACGATCCCTCGTGGCAAGTGGCGGGGCTGGCGCGGATCCCGGCTGCACATCCCCTCTCCCCATCACTCGGCTCCCCACTTCCTCCCGCTTCTCTCCGGGGCCCCCCCACGTCCCGCGCGGGGGACAGAGGGGCGCCGGGAAGCCACCCACCGAAACCCCAGCCTAACCAGAGCCCCAGCGCAAGGTGCCCCCCGAACCTCCTCCCTAAAAAGCCCTGCACTCCGGGCGCAGCACGCGCAGCTCCCCAAGCCCCCGCGCAGCTCCCGCAGAGAGGATCCCGAGGACACCCCTCGGTGGGCAGCCCCCCGGCCCGCAGCAGGTGCCCCCGGCCCGGCTCACCGCGGTAGGACAGACGAAGCCGGGGCAGGCTGTGCCCCGCCGCCCCCAGCCAGCACAGCGACAGCGACACCGCCAAGGCCACCGCCGTCCGCATCCCGCCGTCGCGCCCGGGGCCGCCGGTGGCACCGAGGTTTTATGGGGCCGACATCCGACCGCCCCCGGCCCGCCCCGGCCCGCCCCAGCCCAGCCCCGCCATCCCTCATCCCCAGGGGCGGCGGGGATGCGCGGGGGGACGGCCCCATCCCCGGGGGACCCCGAGAACTCCGCATATCCCCAAAGTGTCTCCCTGCCACCAGCACTTTAGGCTTTACCGCAGCCCCCTCCCGCAGCTCACCCTGCCAGCCCCGCCAGCTCATCCCTGAGGATGGGGAGCAAGGGAGGGAAGCTAGGATCTCCCAGCCTTGCCCTCCTCTTATACTAGAGAGGGCATACAGACCTGCCCCCAAGAAGGATGCTGAGCGTGGCGTGATCTCCAAGCACCAGCAAGCACCCAGTTCTCAGCTCACATCTCTCCCAGCCAGGCAAGCTGGTTACAGCAGGATAGTTGGGGAAAGGGGCTGAGCAGGATCGAGGGGGATGCACAGGGTGCCACAGGTAGCCCTGGTGCACCCACAAGGCAAGGCATGCATTTTTGTCTCCCAGCAAAGGTGCCAGCACCCTGAACAGGGATCCTGGCCAGCAAGGGCCCCTTGGTACCCACCCCATTCCCATGCCATCCTGCCCCAGGACTGCAGGGTCAGAGGATGTCATCATATGAGACATCAGAGAATCCACACTGGCTTCCCATGGGAGACTCAGGCAGGTATGTCCCTCACGCAAAAGCCTTGGATTTCCCCCTGTGCTGGATGGAGGGGAAGGAGCCAAGGAGCTGGTGGCTTCTCCCTCATTACTCCACCACCACCAGCTTCATCCCTTCTCCCAGCCCAGCACTGAGCAGACTCATTATCCCCAGCCCCCCAAGGGTTCCAGCATCTTTTTTAATTAAAACACAGATCAGGAGGCTGGGGGGCCCTGGCTCATCCCCAACCTTTCATAATGGAGCAGCTCTGCAAGTCCCCCAAGCACTGTAAAACCATCCCAATTTGCTTAGTGAGCCCTCAGTTTCCCCAAGGAACAGCATGGCTGGGACAGATCCTGCACCCCTGGGTGCTGGGGAGCTGCATGGGGCTGGGAATGAGCAAGGAGAGGAAGCCAGTGGCAGCTCTGGCAGATAAGCAGAGGTGCCTGCCCAGACCCGTATGCTGCCTGCCCGGACCCGAGGGCTTGGGGGAGCAGCACTGTGGCAGGAGCTGAGGGAGGGAGGGAAGGAAGGAGCGGGATGAAGCCCAGCACCAGTCCCCTGAGGCTGATTGGGAGCAGAGGCCCCACAGCCTGCCCAGGCAGGATCCTGCCTGCACTGCTGTCCCCCAGCCCAAAGAACCCAGAGGAGCAGGAGCACCCCAGCTGGCCCCACTGAAAAAGGAAATCTGCGGTGCCTGGGTGAGATCCCACAGGCCAGCACCATGGACAGACAGACAGACAGACCAGCCCGCTCCTGGGTGTGCTTACCAAGGAGATTTATTGACTTGCACAGAGAAGACGGGTGGCATTTGGCCCTGGCTCCTCTGGCAAGCAGGCAGGGAGGCAGGACAAGGTGTGGGCAGGCAGAGCGGGCCACTGGCCAGCCCCTCACCATCCAGCCCTTGCAGCCAGAGGTGGAACAGGGACAGTGGGAGGCACTGCCGACACCAGGAAAGGCTGGAGGCACCTGGACACAAGGCTCTGCTGGCACGTGGGCAAGGCAGACACAACCCCTCGGGTATCACCAGCAGGCCAGCCCTGAACACAGCCAACACGGTATGACTCCATCTGCATCCCCGGAACACCAGCAGGCATTTGCTGTGCCCACTCCTTGCCCCCTTTTCAAAGCCTTGCGTCCTGCTGCTCAGCACCCCCTGTCCTGCCCCTGGCCGGGCGCTCAGCCCTCGGCAGGCAGCGGGGGCACCGAGGCCAGGGCGCTCAGGAGGCGGGCGTAGATCTCGATGCCCCGCAGGAAGACTTGCTCGTTGAGGAACTCGTTGTGGTCATGGAGCAGCACCGGTGTGCGGTTCATGGGCGAGAAGCCGATAGCGGGGTGCCCTGCCTGGAGGTGGGGAGGCACTAGGTGAGGTTGGAGCTGCCCCACTCCTCCACCTGGACAAGGCTCCTGCTTGGGGCTGCCCCAGATGGGGAACCCACGGGCAGGTGGGTACCACACTCACCGCTCGGATGTAGCGGCTGTCGGTGGCAGCCGGGAAGATCTCGAGCTTGAGCTGCAGTTTCCTGACAAGTGAGACCCTGTGTCAGCATGGGTATGAGGGCAGCCAGGTCCCCTGTCCCCCTGACACCCCATGGGCAAAGAGACTGTGACAGGAAGGTTCCACAGCCCTGCGGGACACTCAATCCCATTCCTTTTGAGAGGGAAACACAAGGGAGATGCTTTGGCATAGCACAGAGCACCCTATCCCAACCGCTGCCATGACCCCAGAGACCCCTGGGGACCACCTGACTCCCACCAGAGGATGTCCCTGCCATGATGATCCTGCTTTTAATGGGGACACTACTCACATGTCCCTACAGACCCCACTGAAGGCCTTCCACCATGGGTCCGACTCGTCAGTGGAGGTTATGTGTTGGTCCATGCATTTCTGATGGAGGGAGAGGGCAAGTGAGGTGTGAGTGGATGGGCACTTGGCAGGGGAGGGATGGGTACGATGTGCCTGGGTGGCTGAGACCCCTCACCTGGTGAAACTCATAAGTGACACCATCCCCAGCACCACGGCACCACTTGGCCACCTGCTCCTCGAAGGCCTGAGGCAGAGACCAGAGGAGGAGTGTGAGCAGGGTATCCCCAGTCCTGCTCCCCTCCTGAGTGGGACTGGTGTGGCGCCCACCTTCAGGTCCACGGTGGGCGGGATGCGGATGTCGAAGCTGGCAGCCATCTCCGAGGGCACCACGTTGAAGGAGACACCCCCCTCCAGCATGGTCATGTTGAGCGAGGTGACGTCCCCCAGGGTCAGGCTTGAGTCAGTCTTGAGCCTCAGGGGACACAAGGGAGAGTCACCCTCTGCCATGGGGAGGACAAGTGCTCTCCCACCCCAAATGGGGAAAGTGAGGCACAGGGTGGCAGCCCTGGATCAGAGCCGGGCTTGGGACCCCAGCGGCCCCCTTCATGGACCAAATTGAAGCTACAGCGGTACCATAGCCTGTCTCCTACCTCTGCTTCTCACTCTCCCTGAAGGCCAGGAAGGAGTTGATGACTTTTTGCTGGGGAGAGAAGGGCAGCAGGTGAGGACCAGCCCTGCAGGCAGGGGCCTGGGTAGGCACAGGGCAGGCAAGGGGGTTGCACAGTGTGTACCCCCTCTCTTACCATCTTCTCGGCCGCCGTGTTGCTGATGAAGCGGGACCCATGCCCGGGGCTACCCATGCACTTCACTTTTATCCCTGTAGCAGTGGGGAGAGAGGGAAGTGTCGAGCAGCAAGCCTGGGACAGCACCAGTGCCCCAGCACTCAGCAGAGCCAGGGACAAGGCAGTGGTCACTCAGGTACTCACACCATGGGCTCCTCTCGCCATAGAAGACACTGAAGGTGTCAGATGGGCTGGCCAGGCCTGTGGTGGGCACAGACAGGGGGTCAGTGGGGCACAGGGGTGCCATAATGTGCCCCCCTCTGCTTTGCCCTGGCAGCACTTCCCCTCCAGGCTGGCACCGTGCGGGTCACTGTCCGGGAGGATTCCCCAAGGGGGTGCCTGGAAGTGTGCTGGGTGCCAGTGCCTGGGGGTAATGCCAGGGTGTGTGCCAGGAGGAGACACATCCCTGTGCCAGCCATACCACCACTCACCCTCATCCATGGCAAAGCCCACGTTGAGCGCTTTGAACTCGGGACGCTGCACGAACATCTCCATGCCCTTGTGTCCACCCACCTCCTCATCTGCAGGGGAGAGCCTGGCATGGAGGAAGGAACTGGGGCATTCCCTGGCCCACCACCCTCTGGTCCTTCTTCCATGCCAGTCAGGGTGCCATCAGATGTCTTTGGATATGGAAATCTCTCCAGCCTTGAGCTGGAGCTCAAAATACGGGCAGCCTGGCAGTTTCCACACCAGGGGGTACTCCAGAGCATCACTCAGCTGCCAGCCCCGTCTGTGCCCCCACGAAGGGACAAACTGGGGACTCACCAGGCACAAAGGTGAGGTGGATGGTGCGGGCAAAAGACTTTCCCTCTGCCTTTAGCCTCCGGATGGCCTCAAGGTACCTGCAGGGGGAAAGTAGTGTCTGGTCATCATGGAGGAGAGGGGCTTGTGTGCTCTGAGCCAGGGTGGGTCAAGAGGTGGCACCCTCAGCCCCAGTGACCCTGGGGATGGCTGCATCCTGTCCTGCACCACTCAGAGGCACCATCAGCACCGTGCCCCCCAGGCAGGCACAGAACTCTCCACTCACTGGATGGAGACACACTTCATGTCCTGGGCACCCCGGGCGTAGATGTTGCCTTGCGAGTCCTTAACAGCCTCGAAGGGTGGGTAAGTCCAGTGCTCCTGTGGGACAGAGTGGCCACAGTGGTAGAGGGGCACAGCAGGCCCCAGCTCCCATCCTCCAGCCACCCCATCCTCCCCACCATGCCCATCCTATCCCTCTCCATGTCCCAGCACCTCGAAGACGGGCACGACATCAGTGTGGGAGTTGAGGAGGATGGAGCGCAGGCGGGGGTTTGTGCCCTGCCAGGTCAGGATCAGCACCACACGGCCCTGGCACACCTGTGGAGCAAAGGTAGGGTGTCACCAGGGTCCAGGATGGGAACAGGAATGCTGGGAGTGGTGGACTGGAGCCAAAAAGTATCAGCTTGGGAAAAATTTCGGGATGCCACCTGGCAGGTCACCCCTTTCTCTGCTGGGAGAGAGCAGGCAGCAGAAGCACACACACCTGAACTCCCCACAGCCACACAGAGTCTGGCTGCAGGTGCCAGACCTGGCTACATTTCCAAGGAGGGAAGACAAACCTGGCATCTTCCCCTGGTGCCTGGGAATCCCCTGGGACAGCCGGTGCCCAGCAGGAAGGACAGCCCCAGCCAACATGACCCTGCCAGGTCCCCAGCTAATCATAGCACAGGCAGCTGCAAAGGTCAGCGGGGAGCAGCCGGAATACTGGCTTAAGGAAGGGCTTGGGTCAGCCCAGGATTACAGGCAGAGGGGATTCACTCCTGCCCAGTTCTGGGGTGCAGGCAAGGGAACAGCCTGGTCACTAAGGACCTGGGCACAAGTGGATGAATGGATGGATGGATGGATGGATGGACAGTCTGGAGGCAGTTCCTCGCCTTGCTCACCTCCACTTTTTGGCAGGCCAAGCCCAGGTCGGTGCCAATGCGCTCCAGAAACTGGACAGCTGCATCTGGGGAAGAGCAGGGATGCCTGGAGTTACACTGGGGTCTCCCTCCCCTCTCTCTGCAATTCCCCAGGGACCCCAAAGCTCTGTGGAGTTCCTAGGCCAAGGAAAGTGGTGACTAGTGAGGGCAGGTGATGGAGGTCCCGAGCACAAGAGGTGGCCAGGAGCAGGGACAGGAGCAGCTCATCACCATCCCTTTGGGGTGAAGACTTAGGGAATAAGAAAAGAGAAATTTGAAGTTCGTGAGTTCAGGGAGTATGGTCCTCCATTGAAGTTTTGTGAGCTCCTCACCAAGAAAAAAATCTCAATGCGCTTTAGTGGGAGGACACAAATGTTAAGAGAAGGAGATCTGAATAGAAGGAGTTCATCCGTCCCAGAGCCAGGGCAGCATGAAAAGGGGGAGCAAGGGGCATGGGGCTGGAGGGTGCAAACAGCAGCTCTGGGTGCACTTGGGACGTCCCTGCCCCAAGCAAAGGCACGAGCCAAGATAAGACACAAAGGAGTTTGCTCCTTAACACCATGATCAAAACAGCCCCGGCACAGGACTTGGGCACTTGAGTCCAAAGACCGGAGCCGCAAAGCGGCATTGCCAGATCCCCACGTGGCTCCCTGTCCTGTTCTCCCATCCTCACCATAGTCAGGTTTGGGGTGGACAGTGTCAATCCTCAGGTACTCCCGGAAAAGTGTAACTGAGGAGTTCTCCGAGGCCCCTGCGCTCTTCCCAGGCTTCCCAGGTGCCATGTCTGGGACTGGGGCTGCAAAGCTCTGGGGGAAGAGTGGCAACATGGTTAATCACCCACCGGCCCCTCCAAAGTCCGCCTGCAAGCTCGGTCGTCACAGAAACTGAAGTGAGAAAGGGCAAAGGTCTGCCCCATGTGAGTCCTGGGACTCTGCCAATGTGGGAGAAATCCCCCCCACTTGGACACAGGGCAGGATGGAGTGTGGCCCCCATGCTATCCTGTCATTCTTCCCCCAAAGCACATCTTCGTGCCCCAAACAGAGTGCCAGGGCAGCCTGGGATGGCCAGGCCAGGGGGGAGATCTAGGAAAGGGCTAGCTGGGAGGAAAAGGGTCCAACTAGGTGGGGAAGGGGCTTATGGGGAGAAGAAGTGTGTGTAGGGCAGGGGCACAGGGTAGTTGGGGGTAGCCAGGAATGCTGAGGACTACAGGCAGGATGCTGGTGTAAGGAGGTGCAGGTAAAGAAAGGGGGACACTGGCTGCTTAGGGGGTGCAGGACAACTGCAAGGAAAGGTGCTGTAGGTGGAGGGAAGTGAGAGTGGTTAAAGGAGATCGAGTGCTTGCAGAGGACAGAACTAGGGGGCCACATTAGGGCAGCAGGCTACTGGAGGAGCTGTCTGAAAAGTGCTGGGTGGCTGGAGGAACAGGAGGATATGGGCTGCTTAGGGGCACATGGGGGTACAGTAGCAGGGCTGAAGGGGAACACTGGGGAGGGTATGGGAGCAGGGGGTGCAGAGAGGCTGTAAGAGCTGCAGCAAGACCCTGGTTAGGGGTGCAGGTACTGTGGCTGGGAGTGCAAAGGGGTGCAGGTGAGGTACAGGGGTGCCATGGCTGGGGTGCAGTGGGGTGTGGTGTACTGCAGTTGGGATGCAGGGACATCATGATTAGAGTTGTGGGGAGTGCAGGGTCTCGTGGATAGGGATGCAGGGATAGTGTGGTTAAGGGGGCTGGGAGGTGAAGCAGACGGCAGGGTATCATGGTTAGCAGTGCAGGGAGGTGCAGGGTACCACAGTTAGGGGTGCTGCAGCTGCGCTGTTGGGATGCACGGTTAGCACGGGCAAGAAGGCAAAGGGGTGCAGAACACCGTGGTAAGCGGGTGCAGGGGGGTTAGCGGAGGGGTGCAAGGGGGGGGGGGGGGGGCGGGGGGCCGGGGGGGGGGCTTGAAGGGGGCGAAGGCACCGGGGCACCCACCCGCGGGTTGCCGGGCGCTCCTGCTGCCCGACCCCACTCCTCGGCCTCCCGCCGCCCCGGCCCTACCTCCGCGCTGCTCCGCCGGCGCTGCCCGGCCCCGCTCCGCCCTCTGCGCTCCGCCCCGCCGGCGGCAGCGGGCAGGGGGCGGGCAGGGGAGGAGCGGGGGGAGCAGGAGGGGCAGGCAAGGGGCGGGGTACAGGCAAAGGGCGCAGGGCACCCTCCTGCCCCACACAAGAGAGATGAGGCTGGAGCCCGGTGAGCCCCGCGGCGCTTCGGGACACAAGCAGAAAACAGAGCAGCATCGGTTTATTGGCCTCGTGACAGGCGACACTCTGTCCTGCCAGCGAGGGACATCTCGAGTCCCCACCCCCGCCACCCTGGGGACACCCCAACAGGCAGCAGCGCCCCTCACACCAGCTGTGTGTGCCTCCTAGTCCCTCCGATGCCCCAGCTCCTGTCCTCTGCTCGGCAGGGAGGAGGCGGTGCTCACTTCAGCTGGCGCAGGAAGCCCAGCAGGGCCCGGTGGAAGTCCTCAGGCTTGTCAAGGTAGCAGGCATGGCCAGCACCAGGCAGGACGACTACATGGTGCTTAGGGAGGTGCTGGAGGTTCTGCAGGGCCTGGGGAGCCAGACCTGTGTCACGGTCACCATACAGGATCAGGGTGGGCGTCTTGGGAGAGAGAAAAAAGCAGAATGGTTGTCAGAGAAAAAAGCAGAACGGTTGTCAGAGAGGTAAATAGCTGCTGCGCTTCCCCTGGGCTGTGTCCACCTCCATCCATCACCATATAGGGCTGCAAGGCCAAGGGGAGGCAGGTGCCAGCTCCCCCATGAGCTGGGGGGCACAGGTCCCCTTCACTCACCCCTAAACAGGGCCACCCTCCATATCTCCCTCCAGCCAGAGGCTCACCAGCACCCAGGGGAGCCCCCCAGGAGCCCAATGACACAGCTCACCTGGACCCGCCGGTACTGCTCAGCAGTGTAGTCCTTGGTGCCCACAGGCGCAATGGGCACAAAGCCGGACAGCCGGTCCCCCTGCTCCAGCAGGAAGGGCAGGGAAAAGCGGCCACTCATGGAGGGGCTCACGAGAACGGGCCTCCGCATGCCCAGCTCCTGGAGAACACGGTCCAGGAAAGCCACTCTGCCCTGTGCCGTCACCACCGTCTCCACCGGGGGAGAATCCCCATAGCCTGGCATGGGGAAGAGGGCACAGAGTGGGCAGGGGGCATTGTGCAGCCTCCACTGTTCTCTCTCCCCACCAAGATTCAACGGCTTGGCAAAAAATGGGCACCTGATCAAGCCCTGGTGGCTGTACAGCCCCAGTCTCACACCAGCCTCACCACACGATGAAGATCAACGCCCCAGGGCAGAGCCAAATCCCAGGCACACTGCCCCAGGGATCATGTCTAGCTATCCAGAGCCTGCCCTCTAAACAGCTCCAGGGCCCAGCTGAGGCCAGGGGCTGGAGCTGCCCAGAGGGATCAACTAAACACAGTGACATGGTCCTACCGGGCAGATCTATTGCGACTGCACGGTAGCCTTCTCCAGCGAGCAGCGCCAGCGTGCCCAAGGCCTCCCACCTCTTGGAGGTGAATGCCTGGCCGTGCAGGAACAGGACATCGGGCCTGCGGGGGGGAAGACAGGCGGGAAAGGGTTCAGGGAGGATGCCATGCCTGCAGCACCCAGCGGCCTCAAGGGCTGGTGATGACAGACCCGAGGCTGGGCTGACCCACCTCCCAGGGCCGGCAGTTCCTGCGGGAACCTCCCTGTAGAAGACGGGGGGCTCTCCCGCAGCCATCCCCATCCTCGCCGTGCCGTTGACCGCCCGCCAGCCCCGCTGCCCCTCGTCAGGCCGGGTGCGCTGCCCGTGCCGGGCGGCCGGGAGGAGAAGGTACAGGAGGAAGGTGAGGAGCGCCCCGAGGAGCAGTAGCCCCAGGCGGCTGCGGACCGGAAGCATCTCCGCTCCCGCTGCAAAAGGAGAGCGGCAGCGCGGGGCCTCGGGCCCCCAGCCCCACTGCTGCGGGGGGCTGCAGGAGCGCTGCTCCGCTCAGCTCCGGCCCAGCCCGCGCCCCCCGCCCGGCCCGCCCAGCGCCGCTGCGCCCACGGCTCCGCCCGGCGGCACCGCGCGGCATTGCAGGCTCCGGGAACGGGGAGCGGGGCGCTGTGCGGCACGGCCCCGGCCCCGACCGGGACACGGCCCCAACCCCGGCACGGCCCCAACCCCGGCACGGCCCCGCCAGGCCACCGCAGAGCCCTTGGGACAGAACAGCCAGGGGATCGGCTGGGCCGGCGGGGCTTGGCGGGGCTTGGCGAGGCTCGGCAGGGGCTCAGCTGAGCTCGGCTCGGCTCGACTCGGTTCGTCAAGGGTTCGGTGCGGCTCGGCAGAGCTCGGGTTGGGCTCAGCTGTGCTTGGGTTGGACTCGGGTAGAGCTCGGCAAAGCTCGGCTTAGGCTCGGGATGGCTCGGGTAGAGCTCGGGTAGAGCTCTTCTGCACACGGCAGGGCTCGGGTAGAGCTCGGGTCGGGCTCAGCTGCGCTCGGCAAGGCTCGGGTCGAGCTCGGCAAAGGTCGGCTCGGCTCCGCTCGGCCCAGCCTGGCAGGGCCGCAGCCGTTCCCGGGGCCGCCCCGGACCTTGCTCTCCATGAGGCGGTGCCGCCGTTCCCTTCCTCCCCGCCCCGCAGGCCTTTGGCTCCGGGGCGCGGCTCCCCCGGCCCGGTGCTGCGACGGGGAGCAGGGAGGAGGGGAACGGCGGCTGGCCCCGTGCACGGAGCAGCAGGTAAGGGCCAGACGGGGAAGCTGAGGCGGGGGCGGCCCCATGAACCCGCCTGGCACATCAGCGGCCCCGCCGGTGCCCCCGCAGTGAGGGTGATGCCGGTGTGACCCCCCCGTGGTCACCCGTGCCTCGACGGCGGCACAGGGCACGTCACCCCTCCTATGCCCACCACTCGCCCCACTAACAGCCCCCCGACCCCCAGGCATGGCCACCCCACGGCTCACTGAGAGCACCGTCACCGTGCAAGGACAGACCCTGTTCTACCGCCAGGCTGAGCCCGCCCAGGCGGCGCCGAGGCTGACGGTGCTGCTGCTGCACGGCATCCGCTTCTCCTCCGACACCTGGCTGCAGGTGGGGACCCTCGCCACTCTGGCCGAGAACGGCTACCGAGCCGTGGCCATCGACCTGCCGGGTAAGGTTGTGATGGTGAGCACAGCCCTGGAGCCAGGTGGGGCCGATGCACCCACTGGGTTTGTGGTGCAAGGATGGCAACTCCAGCATCCAGCTGTGCTGTGCCAGCTTCTCCTGCTCACTGAGGCAGCAGGGAGCCTGACAGGGCCACTTGTGTTTCCCATGGCTCAGGGCTGGGGCGCTCCAAGGATGCCGTGGCCCCAGCACCCGTGGGCCAACCAGCGCCGGCGGGATTCCTGAAGGCGGTTTCGGAGGCTCTGTGCCTGGGTCCAGCTGTGGTGATCAGCCCATCGCTCAGCGGCATGTATTCCCTGCCCTTCCTCCTGGAGCACAGCAACCTGGTCAAGGCATATGTACCTGTGGCACCCATCTGCACCGACAAATTCACGGCAGAGCAGTATGCCCGGATCAAAGTACGGCACTAGGGGAGATCAGGGAACTGGGAGGGCATGGTGAAGAGGAGGGACCTTTGCACTGGGGTTGAGTGGGGAAAGACTAAACAGGACAGAAACTCTAGTTGCCACTGGAAAGGGGGAACATCATGATGAAGGAATATGATGTGGGATAGCAGAAATGAAAGAGGGGATGTTAGGAGACCCAGGAGTCTGAGCCTCTTGTCCTGGAGAGGGGAGTAGAAAGGCAAGTGGCTCCCCTCTAGGATGTCCCTGTCCAGAAGGAATGAGTGCCTGGGTGCTTGGATCCCACTCACAGGCTCCCCCTCTCCATTCCTCCTCTGCAGACCCCCACGCTGATTGTGTATGGAGACCAGGACGTGGAGCTGGGGGAGACCAGCCTGAACAACCTGCGGCACCTCCCTGAGCACCAGGTGCTGATGCTGCAGGGTGCTGGACACCCCTGCTACCTGGACAAGCCCAATGAGTGGCACCGTGGGCTCCTGGCCTTCCTGCAGCAGCTGGTGTGAGCAGGATGGGACCACAGGGCAGGAGAATGTGGCCAGCCCACCCATCCCTCTGCCTGCACATGTACCCTCGTGCCAGCTCAGCTGCTTGCCTGGCACCCACACCACACTGGCCCACACCACCACCCACTTCCCTTGGGACCAAATAAAACCCTAAGCTCTGCCACTGCTTTCCTGCCACCTTCATCCTGCTGCTTTCCACCCTTCTCACCTCCTTCCCCAATCCCCACCTCTGTGGCTGCTGTCCTGTGCAGGTTTGGGGGGTTATAGCAAGAAGGTGCAGCCACCGAGGCATTGGTACTGTTGGGGATCATTGCCCTGTGGATTGGCAAGTGCCGGCCTCACTGAAGCCCCCCTACCACTTCTGGCAGGACCCCCATGAGCCTCAGAGGGTTCCCAGGGAGCCCTGGGGCTGTGTTCAGGGACAGGTAGGTCCCTCAAGGTAGTGACAGCCGTGTCCTCAGCCTGCTTGCTTCCTCTTCCTCCTCCCACCCCTCCTAGCATGCACCCAAGTCCAGGGTAATCCACAGGGGCTTAAAAGGGAACCGCCAGCCCAGCACCCCAGGGAGGTGGGGGCAGATTTACCCAAGGAGTGGCTGCTGTGAACAGATGAGGGGGCGGGCGGGGAGGCCTGACAGACAGGGGGACAAGACCCCTGCTTGCCACCTGCCTCCTCCTGCTTTGGTGCTGCTGCACTGGGCACTTGGGGGCACAGATGGAGCCAGCAGCAGGGTGCCCCCCCAATGCCCCCCCTTCCCCAAGCCTGCCTGGGCTTTAGCTGCTTACGCCAGGGCCCAGGAGGATTTAGTGGGGGAGGTAATGGAGGGGGGGTCACTTTTATGTGGGCGCAGGATGCCTATGTGGGGGCCACAAGGCAGTGCCAAGGGTGCAGGAGCTGGTGCCTGCCCTGGTGGTACAGCGGGACCCCTGTCTGGAGCATCCCTGACCCTGCACCTGGTTCAGGTCCCGTGTTACAGCCCCC